CGTTGGCAACCTGAATCTAGGCGTGCTCGTTAGTAGAAAGATTAGTATCTGAGGCTCAAGTGCTGTAAAGGACAAACAACACTTGCAGGATCTGGGGGTTCGAGGCATATACATGAGTTATGGCCTGAGTTCGTCCGACGTCCGTTGTCGAAGTCCCATGTACTTTCCTTGTTAGGAGGGTAGGTTCGCTCCTTTATAACGCCCGTATATGAGCAGCAGCCACACTTAGCATTCCATAGGAAGTACGCGTGAATAACGCGTTCCTCTGGTCGTCATGTTCGGTTATGTTCATCGACTTACAATAATTCCACCTTTCACACCTCCTCCCGAGGGGACAAACTCGCTCGATACTTACAACTCCTACCTTGCTTGCAGTAGTTGTTGATGGAGGTACCGCCTGTCTCGTGCTGAGCGCCCCGAGATATGGCAGCCGAGCTCCGTATTCGTATAAACCCTAACTTTGTCTGCTAACGCTGCGCTGCTTTGTGCGCTTCAGCGCTGCCGCTACTCGCAGGTCCCCACAAGTTACCCCAGTCAGAAAGCTCTGTTTTTGTTTTTTTGTTTTTGGAAGACTGCATTCAACTGTTCCCTTCCCATCTCTCTCTTTTTTTCTTCTTCTGATTTTTGTTTTATTTTTCCCTTTTTTTTTTTTTTTTTTTTTTTTTTTTTTCTTTCTAAAACAAGAACGGCCCAGTGCCCAAGGCTGATATTTCCAATATGAATATTGAGGCTGGGGTCCTCACAGTCTACCCGGGAGTCACCAAACAGATCATGCTGAGAACAGGTCTCAGCTTCCTTCAATTAAGAATGATGATGAAAACATGAGACAAAAAATCCTGCACTATTGGACTGGCAACCCCAGACCGAGAGGAGGGACAGAACAGTGAACTAGTTTGGTACCTCTTCACCCTAACTAGGCGCCAAAAAAACTTGACTGCCAAGCACTCAACCAGTTGTCTCCATCAAGCTTATATCTATTTCCGTCCTTCCACGAGGGATGTCTATCCAAACCAGGCAGCAGGCACAAGGCAATTACTTTGGGGGGGGGGAGGAAATCAGGAAATTCAAAGGGGGGCCTGAGAGGGATAGAGGGGTCCACAGTAACCCAATCATTAAAAACCAGCCAGTAATTCCTTTTAATTAGTTCTTGAGCGTTAACGTGTCCACCTTCCCAACTTACTTTCCCCAGCCTCCCTCCCTGGTCATCTCCCAGCCAACTTCTATTAAAATGGTTAATATATTGCCAAATCTCATTATGAATTGATAGGAACTAGATTTTTTCTTTAACCTGTTCCCATTTAATAGTTATTTCAGTTTGAATCTGCTGTTTGATGGTTTCGGTGAATTCTGGCCCGTCCAAGCGCGCACTTTCCATTTCAAAGGTACACCTTCTTATCCAAATGGCCCAGATGATCGCCCTTCTTCCTATTAAGACTATATTGAATGTGAAGTCGTCCACTTGGTCCGGATGCTATGATTCCAAAAGGAGGGTTTTCCACTCCCAAGGCCAAGGATGAGAGGTGTCCATTTGATTCCAGATCCTATCCCACCATATGGCATACTGCGTAGCCAAACGGGCCTGCAGGGCCCGTCTCGCATTCTCAGCCTAAAAGCCTAGAAATAAGGGCTTACAGGCCCCGTGTCGTTTCAGCCTGAAAGACTGAAAACGAGGGCCTGCAGGCCCTATGTCGTTTCAGCCTAAAACAGGGCTTTTCAGCCCTGAGGCTTTTCAGCCTGAAACGGAGGGCCACTTTCGGGCCCTCGTAAGATCGACCTGCCCTAACACTCAGGCACAAAACCAGGGTTTCGGGAACAGGCTATTTTTGGCCTGTTCCCACGACAGCCTCAGGAGGAGCTGCAGCAGCAGCCCCTGGCTCCCTTCGGCATTGGCAAGAGCAGCCTCCTGGACTGCCCCGCCCTGCAGCTGCAGGCAGTCAGGAGGCAGGCCGAGTAGTACATAGGGAGTTCCCATGCACTTCACGGGCACGTAGTTGGACAGAAGGCAGAAGGCAGTCTTCAGGATTCAGCGGCAGCACTCTGGAGGAGCGCTGCAGTAGTAGCTTAGCGCTAGCAGTAGTCTTCAGCACTGGGCGCTAGTAGCTGCAGGAGTAGTCTTCAGCGCACGGCACTAAGTAGTGGTAGTAGTAGTAGTGTTGGGGAGAGATGGCTGGCGGAGGCCAGTGAGACTTACCTGTGGCGCCATAGCTCCAGCTCCATCTTCGAGGTACCTGCATCAAGGCGCCAACTTCACAGGTTAGTACTGGACTGAGAGAGAGAGAGAGAGAGAGTTCTTCTTCTTCCTCTTCTAAGTCCACCATCTCTTCTTCACCCTCTCACTACCTGACTTCTCAGTATCAGCGGACTATGGCAGAGAGAGAGAGTTGTGACTTGAGACTTGACGACATTGGATCCAGACTCGACATTGGGATTCAGACATTTTGACGAGGGACTATTTGGGCCTGTGCCGAAGACTTGGTGTTGACGACATTCCCATCTTCCCCTCTTCTTCGTCTAACCCCCCTCGTCTTCGTCTGTGTATGGTTGGGGACTGGCGCATTCTTCCTGTGTGAGCGCCAGGCCCCTTCACACCATGGAGTGATGATGATGATGTATGTTCGGGGCTGCATTGCAATATTGATTGTTCGGATCATTGGTATCTAAGTCTTCCGCTACGCTATCTTGTACTTTGTGAGAAATGTCGGTTCTTGTTCTGGTCTGCACCGTTACAGTATGCAACAGTTTGGTATCGGAGCGGACCTCTCATTCAGAGGACCCGCTCAATCAAGTAGCCAGCTTGCTTGATCTATTGATTACTCATTAGTAAATCAAGTAGGACTTCGTCAAATCTCTGAAATTTTTTTATTTTTATTTTTTTCTCGCAACAAATATCGGGAAATTTCTGATAATCGCGTTTCGTTTTACCTGAAAATTTCTGATATTAGTGTTTCGTTTTCACGCAACAAATATCTGAAAATTTCTGATAATCGCATTTCGTTTTATCTGAAAATTCCTGATAGTAGCATTTCGTTTCTCTGATATTCGGCTACATAGCTGAAATTTTCTGATGTTAACATTTCGTTTTCTAGGCATATTAGGATAACGATAGAAGTGGTCATATTCTCGGAAGCCGGATTTATTCCTTTCTGAAAATCGAATCTCCATTCTATCTCGCAAATTTTTTTTGAAAACCGAAATCTTGCGAAGCCTATCAGCATTTTGTGTAGGCATATTAAGAGGTTGTCATATTCTCAGAAATTAGATTTAGTTCTTTTCTGAATATCGCATCTCTACCCTATTTCGCAAAAAAAAATTCAAGATCGCATTTTTGTGAAAGCCGAAACTTTGTGGGACCTGGCCTAGATCTCGCTCATAGTACTCTTCTGACATGCCTCACTCATAGCAGATCGACAGACATACAAAAAAAAAAAGAAAAAAAAAAGGGGGGGGTAATCTTCTTCTTTTATTTTTTATTTATTTAGTCTGTTGATTAGGACCGGGAGGAAAGTATATCTGGGTTGGTTACCTACCTGCGTTTTCCCTCCCACCCACCCCTTTGCATGCATTCCCGGATTGGTACAGTGCCACATCAGCAACAGTGCCACGTCAGCAGTGCCACGTCAACAGTGCCACGTCAGCAGTGCCACGTCAACAGTGCCACGTCAGCAGTGGCCCGCCACCATGACGGGCTCAACTCTGGGCATGCTAGGCCAACTGGCCAACGAGTCCATTGCCGAGTACCGACAGCGGTTCCAGACTCAACTCGCACTGATCGAGGTTGAGGAACAACGCCAAGTGGCAGCCGAGGCTGTCCGCCTACAGGCTGAAGCGGCGGCAACAGCTGAGAAGCAGCGGCTTCAGGCCGAAGCAGACGCAGATACCCAGGCACGCCGCAAGGAAGCCCAGGATCTGCTACAGCGGCATGAAGCCACCAGCATCGAAAAGCTCAAGTTTTGGCACTTTGAACCTTCCGAGGAGCACGACGACGCGACACCGGAGGAGCAGCATAAGGAATTTTTGGCCAAGCTCGTGACCCGGTTGGTTTACACCTGTAACCACCTGCAATCCGAGCTGGCGAATCTCCGACGGGCGGTGCAGAACCACAAGGGTCTGCACGAGGATGCTACACGGGCACTTGATTCCCGTGTACAGGACTTCGAGCAATCTGCACCAAGACCAGATGCTGGCGAGTCCAGCAGCGCMCCCTCTACCCGCCAATTGGAGGAACGAGTTGACCACGTAGTTGCAATGCTCGGCGACATCAGTACCTTCGCTGCACCAGCCACCATCAGCAAGCAGCTGGACACCTTGAAGACCGAGGTTCAGCAACTGCACCAGTTGCCTAACAAGGAGGGCAACAACACGCAGCATTACAAGATGCCGACATTCCAAATCGAGAAGTTCGATGATTACACGCATCAAGACCCGGTCATCTGGTGGGAGGGCTTTACGACGCAACTTCGGATACTGTTCGTCCCCAAGCACTCGTACATCGGCGCGTTGTTCCTCAACTCAAAGGGCGGATGCCAGATCTGGTTGAGCCACCTGGCAACCGTCCACGGCGTCGACGTCGCAGATCTGAAGGATAAGATCTCTCGGGAAGAGTTAACACGGCTATGGAAGAAGCGGTTCATCGTGGACGACGCCCCGGCGCTCGCCATCAACCGCCTCTTCGCTATGACGTAAGGCAACACATCGACACGTGACTGGCTCACGGAATGGCAAAAGATCGCAGCGACGCCGGATCTTGAATTGCCATTTTCGCACCTGCGCCGAGAGTTCTACAACCGGTCGTGTACCGCCTTGAGCCTTGCACTTGGCGATCGCGAGCAATACGCGACCTTCGCCGAAATCATCGACAAGGCAAGGGAGATCATCAAGACCAATAGGGCAGCTGCACATGAGAAATCAACATGGCAGCCAACCTATGTGGAGAAAGGAAAATCTGGTCCACGTCTGCAGCATGTCGCTACAGTCCAACCGAACAACATTGTGGCAGACCCGGCAGCCACCCGAGCATCACGTGAGGGAGATCAGGTGGCTGCTGTCCAGCCGCGAAGCAACAACAAGTCCTGAGGAAACGGGAAGGCGAAAACCGCATCGCTGGCCGGAAACGGACAGCCAGCACCATGGGTCAAGTTTCACTTGACCGAGGCGGAATACAAGTGGCACGGACGCTACGGTTGCTGCTATTGGTGCAACAGCACCAAGCACAAGACCTCCCAATGCCCGGATCAAGGTAAGGAGGATGTTCGGCCTCGCATCAACTCGGGAAACTGAGTTGCGCGGGAGGTGAGGCGACTCCACCTCTCACTCCGCCGGATTCGGCCGCCTTGCTAGCGGCCTCCTACACATCTGGGGAGGATGCGAATGTCCCAAGTTCTCGGTACACTTACGAGGACGATGCTGTCCACTTGGTCCCACCGTTGGACCAACCACTCCACGTGCAACAATCCACCGCATGCACGGTTTCACCATCATCGGCAAGTTCGCGGCAACCGAGTCGGCAGCTTCGCCGCCATCTATCGTCGGGGATTCGACAACATGGTCAAGACTTGAAGAGCTCGACCCGTTGACGTTTGCAGACTTCCAATGGATGCCCCTTCCCCGGTCCAGTCGATTGCCGAAACCGCATTGCAACGTGCTCATGGCACAATTGCGGGATTACTTGCACACTGCAGTACCAACTCCGTTGATGGATGCCGGAGTAGAGGTTGTCGACCTTCACGCCTACATTGCGAAGATCGACCGCGAGTTCAAGACACAACGGTACGATGACATCGACGCGCCATTGTTATATGTACGCATTCAGATCGGAGAGGCGACCTACAACACTTTGATCGATTGCGGAGCATCTCGCAACTACATGAGCCAGGACTTTATGGTACGCGTCGGCCTTGGCCCACGCGTCTGGAGGAAGTCCCAACCTACGCAAGTCACAATGGCAGACGGTCACATGCACAAGTCAATCAACCGGTGCATTGATGTCGTCCCCGTGTACTTTGCCCCGCATGCAAGCGAGGCGGTGTCCTTCGATATTTTGGACACCAAATTCGACATGATCTTGGCCATGTCATGGCTGCGAAGCGAGGATCACCCGGTGAACTTCTAGCGCCGCACCGTTAACGTTCGTGATCGGAACGGAGTACTAGTCCCATGCACGGTGCCTCCTCCTCACCCTTCAATCAGTTGCCACGTGGTGTCCGCCGCAAGCATGCAAGCTTCCATCATCAGAGACGACATCGAGGAGATGGGGGTGTGTTTTCTCCACGCCCTCCCGCCCCATGACGCTTCATCGACGGACTCATCTTCGGACCCATGCATCACCGAGCTTCTTGACGCCTACGGCGACGTGTTCGAAGGACCGCATGGAGTAGTACCGGATCGGCCCATCCGCCACGAGATCATCCTCGAGGACGGGGCCGTACCTCCGCGCGGTTGCATCTACCGAATGAGTGAGGAAGAGTTAAGTGTGCTATGGGCACAACTCGACGACCTTCTGGAGAAAGGCTGGATTCGGCCAGCTCATCGCCATACGGTGCTCCTCTTCTCTTCGTCCGGAAGAAGAACAAGGATTTGCGGTTGTGCATCGATTATCACAAGCTCAACGCGCAAACGGTCAAGAACGTCGGCCCTCTTCCACGCATCGACGATCTTCTCGAACGGCTGGGCGGCGCCAAGTTCTTCTCCAAGCTCGACCTCAAGTCGGGATATCACCAACTCGAGATCCGGCAGGAGGACCGCTACAAGACCGCGTTTAAGACGCGATATGGGCATTTTGAATGGCTGGTTACGCCGTTTGGCCTTACGAATGCCCCAGCCACTTTCCAAACGGCTATGACAACGGAGTTCCGACACATGCTGGATCGATTCGTACTTATCTACCTCGACGACATCCTGGTGTACAGCTGGAGTTTGGACGAGCATGTGGAACACCTGCGCACCGTTTTGGAGCGGCTACGACAAGCCAAGTACAAAGCCAACCGCTACAAATGCGAATTCACGCGGCAGGAGCTGGAATACTTGGGACATTATGTGACGCCGCAAGGCATCCGTCCGCTTGCGGACAAGATCAAGGTCATCTGCGTATGGCCCGAGCCCACCAACACCACGGACGTTCGTTCATTCATGGGGTTGGTGGGCTACTATCAGCGATTCATCACCGGGTACTCAAGGATTGCTGCACCTATAACGAGATTACAATCGCCAAAGGTGCCATTTGTATTCGATGACGACGCACGCCGGTCATTCCAAGCACTCAAGACGACCGTGCTCATGGCACCTGTCCTTATCATCTACGACCCCACCCTGACAACCGACGCTTCCGGCTATGGCATTGGGGCAGTCTTGGAACAACACGACGGCGACCACTGGCACCCTGTGGAGTATTTCAGCCACAAAGTGCCTTCCCATCAATTCGCTTGATGATGCAAGGAAGAAGGAGTTGCTCGCGTTCGTGATGGCTCTCAAGCGATGGCGACACTTCCTCCTTGGGCGTCGTAGGTTCACATGGGTCACGGACAACAACCCATTGACCTACTACCAGACGCAAGATACGGTGAGCAGCACGATCGGACGATGGATGTACTTCATCGACCAATTTGACTTCACACCGAAATATCTCCCCGGCCTCTCCAATCATGCAGCAGATGCACTCTCGCGAAGACCTGATCTTTGCGCTATGACACATCATGCTTTCGCATTCGACGAGGAACTCCAGCGACACTTCATCCGGGGCTATGAATCTGATCCGGACTTCGCCACGTTGTATGCGCAGCTATCTTCGGATCACCCACCGGCCAACCACTATCGCATTGCCGACGGGTACTTGCTCCTCCACTCGAGAGGCAAGGACTTATTGTGTGTCCCACGAGACCGTTGTCTTCGGACTCGCCTTCTCGGGGAGTACCATGACTCGCGACTCCCCGGCCATTTCGGAGTCAACCGCACTATTGCATGACTTCGACAACGATTCCGATGGCCCGACCTCATTACCGATGTCACTCGGTATTGTGACTCTTGCGAAGTTTGCCGACGAAGCAAGCCCCGCAATTGCAACCCCTACGGCGAGTTGCGCCCGATGCCTATCCCACGGGAACCCGGCCTCTCCATTGCCATGGATGTCACCGGACCATTTCCCCGCGATCGCCTCGGGCACAACGGCATCCTCACGGTTGTGGACCGTTTGAGTAAGTACTCGCGTTTTCTCCCTTGCAAGTACTACTCCACGGCTCCTGAGCTGGCACGCCTCTTGCACACCGGCTGGATTTGCGGCCACGGTGTACCGGAAGACATAGTCAGCGACCGCGACACTCGCTTCATGTCGGCATTTTGGACTGCTCTCATGCAGGAGTCCGACACGAAGATGAAACCAAGTTCGGCTCGGCATCCACAGATGGACGTGCAAACGGAGCGGGCACATCAAACCGCTCAAATGATGCTTTGTACGCTCATCCGTCCGGACCAGAAAGATTGGGTTAACCGCCTCCCCGACATCGAGTTCGCCTACAACACTTCGGTGCACCCGGCGATCGGCATGACTCCATTCAAGTTGCATCACGGTGGACGGAAAGGCCGTATCTTCGCCGACCTTCTCCTCCCACGACCAGCCGACATCGATTCCGCTTGCTCTCCCGCTTCCGTCCGGATGTAGGAAATGTTGGCTCAAGCCCGCGCAAACATGCAAAAGGCTCAAGTCCGCATGCAGCAGCAAGCCAACAGGCGCTGCATGCCTTGTCCTATCCGCATCGCTGATCTGGTTTGGGTCTCCGCGGAAGAATTTGCACTGGAACAGGATGTTTCACTCAAACTGCTTCCCAAGTGGTTTGGACCATGGCCCGTAACATCAGTCGCGGGCGATGAGCCCGATGACCCTTCATTTTTGATCAACATCCCCTCGCATCTGACGGTCCATCCAGTCTTTCAAGCCTCGAAGCTGGCGACATACACACCAACTAAGAGCGACGACTTCCCGGTGTTGTGGGGAAACCCGGGGAGGGGCGCCTGCCGTTCGTCAAAGCCATGGGCCACGGCGCCTGTCACTTCGCCGCGCCCGCTTCCGAGGTCCTCAACGATCGGCAGGGGATTAATGTTGAGGGGCGCAGTATCATGCACCCTGTTTCTGCGGGTTCACACGGAAGTAGAATTCATCAGTCAACCGGTAATTTCACAAGTTTAACAGACTGCTCGTAATTC